CCGCTGAAGAGGAAAAGAAAGAATCCGACCTACAAATTAGTACAAATGCAGCTAATATACTGAAAAATGTCGGTTTAAAAAACATCACAATAGCACCAATACCACCTAAAACGGCAACGGTGACGTCACAAACTCTATCTCCAGTTGTCAGTTCCCCGTCTCTTCTAATGACATCAACTCCAATGAAGCTACCGCAGCTGGGACCGGCTGTGTCAATCACCAGTGAAACAATACTGACTCCGACTTTACCAATTATGACTACAAATATGGTTCTTCCGAAGATCCCTAAATCTCTAACTGTGATCCCGCAAACAGTGCCCGTGGTGCCAGTCACCTTGGCGCCGTCGGTCGTGGTCTCCAACGACCAGCGACCATAACGAAGTGTCCTATTCGTGGTTGTCAACCACGACCTACCGAGTGCAGTGTTAAGTACTAAGGAATGGTGTTAAGTGCGTAACATATCAGGTGCTTTGTGGACTAAATAGAGTCTATTTTCGTATGAAAGTGAAAAATGGAATGCAATAAAGTGAGACCGGTCAAGCCTTATAATGTTAAGTGTATATATTAGTGTAGGAATGCTGTGAGCACCGGTGAGGATTGTTTTAAATATTATATCTGATATTTTTAGGTTTTTTTTCACATTTGCGCAAATAATGCGATTGCTGATGTTTTTATTTGAGCGATATTGAACATCACAAATTAGATTTAACACGAAATTTTCTATCACATTGAAATAATATATTTTTATATCAAATCCTACACAAAATGTACACATGAGTATACGTAATAGAAAGTTTTATATATTTTAACACCATTTGTAGCTTTTCCATTAAATTCCATACAGAATTATAAGTAAATCTTGGTAAATTTGATAGCATAACATTGTTGATATCAAAATTCTCTAGTCAGGTCAAAATGTTGCATTTATAATTTATTATACAATCCACAGCATTCGTATCATTTGCGTGAAATTAGACAATTTAATGTAAATACGTTCAGATTAACTGACAATATTTAATTTTTATAATAGACCTAACATCTTGTGTAGAAACCCAAGAAATGTTTAACTAGTTAGGAATGTGATATTTTTCTTTGCGAAATTTGTAAGAAATCAAACGTTTTTGAATACAATAATAATGGTGAAATTTTCTATGATTTAAACAGAATATCAAATGATATCAATGTATTTTTTCATGTTTCATAGAAACTGGTAAAAAAAACTTAGGCCCTTAAATGTTGCCAACCATTGATAATCTTCATTTTTTTTAATCTGTATTTAGTAATTTTAACTCCGGCAAGTAAGAATAAAAATTCCATTATCTTTAAATGTAGGCAATGCTTTTTATTGTAATTAATTTGCAAAAAAAAAACAACTGCAATTTAAATTTTCATTTCATTGGTGTCGTGAAAAACTATATTTACTATAAGGGCAACAGAGATATTATATAAAAGATTTTAAAGCGGAACAAATTTGTCAAATCATAAATATGTAAAATAACTATTTTGTAGACCATTTTTAAAGACAGTGAGCGAATCACCAAAATGTTGAAACCATAAATAAATAAATAAATATTTAATTGATGTTTAACTTCTCTTGCAGTCAAAAGATGTAATACAATAGAACCTCGATAACATAAATGGTAACTTAAAAACCTACATAACTTCAAAAAATATTACCTTCCCATCAGAGCCCAAAACCTACAATACCCTTGATAACTTGAAATATTATGTGTTTCCCTTGGACTTTAATTTATCGAGGTTCTATTGTTTATAGTTCACACACTAGTAATTTAGTCAAGTGATTTAAATAAAATATTTTACTAAATAACTCGGTACTTGACTAAATTACTGAGTGCGAACTATGTTAAGTCTTCCCGATAAAAATAGACACAGAGATTACTAATTTTTCAGACCTCTTAATATTTTGCTGGTGTGAACCCCTGCTATCTTTTATTCTAAACCCTCAATATTTTCTATCAAAATAGACACCCAAGTTTTCTAAGGACCCCAGAGGTCCATCTGGACTAATTTCCTGATTTACCATAACTGTCAAATTCGAAAGAAAAAAAGTTTCATTCCGTTTTGAAATATATTTTTACACAGATATTTAATATTAAAGGTCTTATCGGTTTTAAATTACTCTTCATAAGTTTTTTTCCGGCACTTTTAACAAAGTATATCTGAATAAAAAATGAGCCTATGATCCCGATAATTCAAAAAAAATAAAGGCTTGTTTGGTTGTAATTGGATTTTCTCTTTAATCATTACATCATTTTTACAGTTTGACTTGTGACTTAGAAGTCAATTGCCAACTATAGACTCAGTAATAATAGACCTAAAATAAAAAAAAATTGCCTGATACCTTAGGTAATCATTTAGTTATCTAAATTATTGTATGGTAACAGCTCGCATGAAATTCATACACTTTATATGAACTTGTCTATAATATCTCTGTGTCAAAATGTACATTATACTAGCCAAGAATATAAAAATCCTAGCTAGAGAGTGCTATGTGATGTACAGTTGGGAACTACGGTGTTACACTTGCAGAAAAAATTCTTTGGTAATTGTAACAAGACAAACTATGCAGGCAAAATTAGGTAGCATTGAGTTTTGAAAACAGGATAATAATAAAATTATTCATGTATTTGATCTTTTTTAACACAGATTAAAAACATCATATTGTTTATTATTCCAAGTCGCCTTAACGCTTATAAACGTTTATTTAAACACCGACACATTCCCTGATTGTACATTACATGTAGGCGTGTTAGGGTTTTTATATTTCTGGTTATGTTATAACAATTACTAATGAACGATTTTACTAGTGCCTGTCAGCATCTGTATAAAAACCACGTCATTGTACATACCAGAGGTCCCCTATTGTAACAATGCTCACGTTTGCATGTTTGAAATATATATATATTTAATGTTGAGAATTACTCGTATTTTATTTGGTCCAATAATACTAAGGTCCAATGTTATTGTTAGTGTACAGAATTGCGTTAAGGCGTTGCTTTCCTACTGTTTTTTTAGAATTGTAATATACTATATTATATGACAACGAAGATTTTAAATTTGCAACATTGCGTTGGTTTGAATTATTCATACCGCCTAAAGTTTAAATGTATAAAATTCTGTTTGCTGTTATTATTTTTACTGTTTTCTAATTATGTTTTATGAGGTGATATTTAAATTTGATGGGAATGAAATGAGCAATAAATTGATTGTAAGCTGAGAGGAATATTTTTGTAATATTTTGGATGAAAATCAAAAGACGTTAACAGCAATTGTCAGGTATATATTTTTATTGCATGTCAAAAACCAAGCTAAATCAAGCTATGTGATTGGTTAGTCGAAGCACTAATAAACATAGTTTATATAAATAAAAACAATGTATGAGATATTTAATTCTGTGAAAAAACTGTACTATTTTAAATATCTAATAGACTATAATTATTTTA